TCTGTGTTTCCAATAGTCTGGTAGGGTGAAACATGGAAGTGTGAAATTCAATACCTCTGTCTGAGCAAGTAGGGACACTATGAAGCTATCTCTGTTCATTATTATTTGGGCACATTTCCTTCGGGACATGAAACGATTTGCCACCCCATCGTGATTTTATGAACTGGCACGATTCATGGCTCTAGTGGCTGCAAGGACCACATGAACCAATTGCATTACAACGTATACATATAGAAAAGACAATTGTTACACGCAATATATTGTGCATTTTGAAGATTACAACCCTTCTCAATATACTGCTGGATGAGGATCTCGCCACGCCGTGCCGGGTCATGGCGACTGTTCACGCGTTACACCAGCATGTGTTGATATATACCCGACCACGGCGATCATCATTGGCATGTGATATCTGAACCACCTTTCACCAACCCATAAGCTCATGACCGACATGGCACGAGGAGGCCTTCATCCAACAGTGGATCGATAAAGGGTTGGGAATCATAATTGTTTTTTAATCAATTGGTGCATCGTTAGATGCCTACCGTCCTTTATACCAATAAAGGGAAACCCCTTGCTGAAGTTGTATGGCTATGATCTACAAATGTATATATCAAATCAATAACTGTATTATGATAGGGATATTCATCACTGCACATTAAATAAAAACGAATGCTTTAGCAGTGGTGCTGCACCATTATCACCTTTTAATTATTAATAAGCAAAATAATGTACGGCACTTTGTCTTTCCACTGCTAGATGAAGGCCACACACTATTATCTGATAACAGAAAAAATACACAGTGGAAGTGGCTGTGTGGCGCAATCGCCCATATTTAGGGGAAAGAAGGGCAGAGTCAATGGATGGCTTATAGTTGCAGATCACACTCTACGGTGAGATGCCTCACATTACGTACCCATATGTTTTGGCAGTGCGGTTCTTGTCTTTGGCTTAAGTGTAAAAAAACACTCCTATGGCTTCAGTGCCAGGGTTATGCGGTTTAATCGAATAGAGCCATACTTTCTAAATGACTCTAACTAAATGACAACCACTTGTTTATTGGTTTTGCGCATTTTACGATGCACCCCTCCCCGTGCCTCTTCCTCCTCCTGGTGATGCAATAAAATGTCACAATATGGGATTACAATTCGGTTTAAATATTTATTTTTGCATTTGTAGTCAAATTTGGTTTTGGTTACTGTATTATCCAACATGTAACATTATATTCTCATTTACATATAATTTGTATATTTTGTAAATGCATCGATTCTTACATGCAAGATTTGATGCATGTGTAGCGATACATTGTATTGCATTGTACTTCACAATAACTACTGATTTATAAATAAAATAAGCAGCCAACGAGTCTGTGATGTATAATAAAAAACCTGAAATATGGTTTGAGTTTTCAGGAATGTTAGATAATTTATATATATACTGTACTGCAGTTCATTCAAAAACAACGAGTGCATTTTATACTCTGCGGCTTTTCCACAGAAATAAGCGTATGTCAAAGTGAAGGTTGACACACGATGCACCGAGAAGCATATCATGTTTTGTCATGTCCGTGCTTGTCCAGCCCCGGCTGAGAACTGGGATTAATCCCATTGTTTGGTTCAAAGGTGCCAGCATTGAAAATGTAATGGGCTGGGTCTAAACACTGAGCACGATTATGTATACCTCATAATGCACCCTTTATGTGTGCGTGATGCGTACGTGTAGTCGTAGTAATAATAATACTTTGCACTTATAAGGTGCCTTTCACAAAGAGTCTCAAAGAGTCTCAAAGAGTCTCAAAGCGCCCTTTGTCGATCCACTGCTGGGTGAGGTCATCCCATGGCTATGCAGGTCTTTTATTTGACCATACTTCACCGAGATGGTCAGTGCACATGGTAAAGGTGGGGAGCATTGGTTTTTAGAGTACAATCATGGATTTGTTTTTTTTTCGCAACCTAACCTGCATCAGTGCAGCCCTATGACAACCTGTATGTGCACTGTGGCCACTTATCCAATCACTATCCAGGCCAAAACCTGACTAGCTTAAGAGACCTGACAAGGCCTGGTGCATTCCGATTGATCTTATAAAAGGTGTTTGTCTTAGAGGATCTTAAACTGCGTTATTCAGTTGTGTTTGTTCAATGGGCACTGAACTATAACGGTGGTGCAATATTTTAGATAACATGAAAAACAATCAGCATAATGCAACACTGCCCACAGAATTTTAAATTACATATTAGACAGCTGTTACGATACTGAAGTAAATACAAATTGGTAGCACATTTCCAGGGCACTGCATCTCAATGAATCTGCAAAAATTAGAGGATTAGAGCAGAGCTTCCAAATTCAGGATCAGCTTTTAATAAATGCATTCGCTGAGTAGCAAACATCCATCAACATGCGTATTATTTAATCAATTACCATACTGAGCGCATGGTGGTAAGCTATCCAATACTTTCTCAAATAATGTTTGAGTTGGCAACAAGAGAAAGACAAATATTGTTGAAGGAAATGTCTCATGCAGTACAACGTCGCATATGTGACCATCACATATCCACCGTGACCAATTAACTACCCTCACTCAGTGCAGTACATGGTATTACTGTAAGTTTCTATACGGTACTTCTTCACATATCCAACCTTTTCACATACCCGCCGACACCTCCGTCCCCAGCAAGTTATATATGTGGCAGGGTATTGCACAACAAACGCTTGTAAATTCTAAACATGGCAGTGGACAGGCAGTGACCTGAGGTATGGCACGGGCTCTCGTAAGTTCAAGACGCTGCATGGGGTGCATGCATGGGCTGCATTGGTCGCATAGCAATGTGCACAACGACATGTCCCAGAGGTTCTGCATTGTGAACCTTGTGTGCCTACATGCCGCTAAAAGGGTGTGGCCAAACCCGATATATGCCCGCTGTATAACTTCTGACCTGCAACACAACCCTTCACGCGCAGGCTCAAATCTGCCGGTGGTGTTTATGAAAACAAGTCCTCTTCGCTATATTGGATGACTGTAGTGTGAATTTTTTTAGAGCGGTGTAACCGCACATGCATGACCGGATTAGGGTATAGTCTGCAGAGGCACAAGTTTATGGACCCCTTAGTTGACAAAGAAACTCTCTCTGAAATGTACAATGCACGGATGAATCATACAATTCTCAATGTTAACAGTTATTTTCCGTGCCAATACGTCATCATATAATTCTATTGTGACACTTAGGTCAGTGGATAGAAATGATGGAAGACTTAAAATACCTAGAGTAATGGTCATCAAAGCATGCATATTCGAATGATGTAGTAATGTTATTGAGGCAGAAGTTGTGGCGCAGTGGTTAGCACAATGCACCATGAACCAAGCCACCAGCGGTAGATTTCCTGGACATGGCTAACAAGAGTAGTGAGTGATGTCTGGACAAGTCGTGGACCACCCCTCTTCTTTTGCAACCCACATTGAACAGCGTGGTAAAATATTGGCAAATAACATTCACGACTGACATGGCATGAGGAGTTTGTTATGGTTATCCAGTCGTCAATCGACTAAGGGTTCCAATTATTTAATTACTTATAACTTAAATTGCAACTGCATATATACACGTGGTATACTTAGAAGACCTACAGTATTTGTAATCAATTCGCGATTTTTTTATAACTTAGTAATAATATTGGAATTGAAAAACAAATACAGATGAAGTTTATCTTCACAGTTTTTTGACAAGGAATGCAAGAATGGCTTATGGTTTAAAATTTTATATTTCATAAACATGGGAGTGAAATTACACATGAATGGGTGCTTATAATGAGATTGTTCATGCATACTCTCCACATGAAATAAGTATGAACACCAAGCATTATTTTGGTGAAAACAGATGCTAGATACTCTGCTGAAGCAGATACAGCTTATTTCTGCATCACTTTCCAAACATCTCGGCACATATATACGACATTATGAAATCTATATTTCACTTTGTCAACAGCCAGCACTTTTAAATTTTAGCTCCACTACAGGGCACAGAGCATTGGGAATGCCACCATGCAGTTGTATCGAAAAATAACAGATGCTTTTACTTAAGCTTGTAACTGCTTCTTACCGAAGAGGAAACCCAGCCAAAAACTCAATGTGGAAAAAAGGCACATTTACATTGTAATATATCAATATTATACACGTACAATAAACGTTTTATGCATTCGCTATATTTCTTTAATGTAATATATCACAACTGACCATTGTACGTTTTGCTATATTTTCCAAACAGATTTGGCGACAATGCATCCAGGCATCTGAATGTCCCTTGGTGTGCAACCATTGAACAGAACAGCTGTAGAGGCTCACTTTTTAAGTTAATTTATTGCAGTGTTTTACAAAACATAAAAAATACTTTATGAAGTCCCTAGATCAGTGTTCCTCAACTCCAGTCCTCATAACAAGGGGGGGGGGGGGGGGGCACAGGAGGTCGTTCGGATTGGAGTTGAGTAAACACTGCCCGAGAAGAAGCAGGCGGCAAGGTGATTAGCCACTACAGGTGGCACATATCGACTTTAGACACTCACAGCGTGCCAATAATAGCGGGCCTATGTTAGTAGAGATACTTTAAACTTGAAAATGAATTTGTATCCATTTATATATTCTAATCGTGTGCATTCAGTGCCACGGGAGTCCTTCTGCTTCGCGTTTCCAACATTTTTACACATGATAGCCTACTCTTAGTTTTTTCGCTAAAGTCACGTAGGTAAAGAACTTGCACCTTGGAATCCCTGCCTCACTTGATACAACAAATCTGGCTGTGACGGTCCCACCTGATGACGGAGGCTTGTGTTGCCTCCGAAACGTCGTGATTTTTATTATTTTAGTTTTATTAATTTTAATTTCATTTTTAACCTACGTGACTTTACCGAAAAAACTAAGAGTATGAATCCTTGCAGTCACGAAAGCTTCAAATCTAGAACATGATAGCCTCACAAGGATGTAATGTGTCCATTCTGGTGGAGGGGGGGGGGATTACCTTTGCAAATGAAGCATTTGATGTGAAAGTGGCGATCCTGCACACGCAGTGCCTCTCCCTTGCAGGGCTCCGAGCATTTGTGGCACAATATGGGCGGCTTGTCCTTGCCCGAGGTTGGGGGCTGGGCTGCATCTTGCTTCGGGGCCACTGGGGAGAGAGGGGGTCAGAAGGAGCTGTTACAAATGAGTACATTTTTCGTAAAGTTGCTTTTTAAGCTGGTAACAAATCACCCCGCAAGTCAAAAGTCGTCAAGAATCTTCTTTTAAAAACGTATTTAAATCCAAATTATCCACAACTATTTAAAAAAATGGGGGAGAAATGTTAATCTCTTCAGAAAATGCTGATGGGAAAAAAAACACATTTCATCGTAAATTCCTGAGACTATGACGCAGAATGTGGGTGGAGCGCGTGTCATACTTTGAGAATACTATTACCACCACGCGACTGACCTCATAGGGGTACAAAGCATTGCCTGTCAGTTTCCACGCATGACGAATATGATGTCAAGATGTTACAATGCCTCGAAAAATGTGACAAACAGGTGGCAGAGTTAACCCGTAAAGGGGTTGGGAGAAGAAGAAAACGTGTAACCCTTGCGCTTCAGTGTGGAAAACAAATAAACAGCCCGGCCACTTTGGAGAATTCAGATTAAATCCTTGTGAAGGCTTCATAGTCACAACAACAGCCCCAAACTATGCCTTGGTGATCTGATTAAGCCATAGTCCACAGACGTAGCGGGTGGTGGCTCCACAGACTTTGATCACGGTGGGGGTAATTGTAGTCACCTGCGCTGCACCGATAATTTGGAACTCAGTCCTGCGCATGTCAATAAGCCGATAAGTGGACCTTACATCTTCACAATGGCTTTTCCAGAATGATTAATATTTTATTGCGACAGGAGACTACTGCTTTGTTGCATTTTTTAATATATTTTTCTGTTCAATATCATAGCGTCTCATTCAATTATCTACCCTGAGATTTGGTTCAACCCGGGAGCTCAATATAAGAATACATTATTTGTAATAATTCTGTGAGCGAACATTCATCACATTTCATCTTCAAGTATCAAAACTCTATGCATACATATACACGGTGGTGGCATTCGAGATCGTGGTTGCTTAGGGTATCAATCTAAATCATAATAAGTCAGAGCCGTTTGTAAATCCACTGCTGAATGACAGTCTCGACCATGCCTCTCAGTCATGGGGGTTGTTTGACCATACTTAGCCAGACTGGTCCGTATGGGTTGGTGAAGGGTAGGCCAATTCCGGTTCCAGGTTCATAAATCCCTCGACCGATATTATCTGTGGCGGGGGAATCAAACTCAGCTTGGCTGAGTTTATAATGTGATGTGCTGACCTTTTGGCCACCACCCCACCAACAGAAAATATTGTGGGATGGGCAGGGGGCACAAATAATGCATTTTACTGGTACCCCCTAACTGCCCATAACAAAGTGGTCAGAAACATCTCTTGAAATGCTGCCTAGGGCTCTTTCATTGAACCGTAAACCCAGCACGTGAGCCAAAACAACGCATGGTTGTGTTGACAGATGTAGTAAATAAAAGAAATTGCTTGTGTCTACCGATGGTTAAAAGTACTTGGGGGGAAAATAACATCAGAATGTTTTAAAATGTATCTTCATCAGATATAAGGAAGCCTTTTACATAATTTAATGTTGCAGATCGAATCCCTACTATAGGGAAGAAGCAAAGCCATGCAGGAAAATAGATTCGCCAAATGTCATTAGAGGATTGTATTGGATTCTCATCAAATAAATGCATGTGTACATTATTCAGGGGTGTAGCGATTTCTCACCCCTAATATATTGTACAAGACAGGGACCACAAATGCAGTTTCCTGTAAACGTAAAAACGATGGTGTTGCATGTCCCGTAAGTTATAATCTCGTGCCAAACCATGTATCTTTTTGCCGTCGAATTCTGACACTGAAATGTAGAGTCAAATAGTTACATTGGGAGCTCGTAAAAAATAAATATTATTGTACCGTCAAAGCTGCTCTTAAGGTGATTTTTGACAAATATTTCTCAGTGAAGAGTTGTAAATTGGCAAATGCATTTGTCACAACCACAATTTATTACATGTCAGACTAATTTCTTAAATTTAAAAACCATTCATGAGGTAATATTTTCTAAATGTAATTCTCATCAGGCCCCAAAGTATATCGTGTAGCTTCTCTTCTCTGGCAGCATTTACTTAAAATGATAGTGTGAAATGTTAATCTGTACTCTGAGCTATATTTGTACATTGTGTATTGCACTGGGCCAGTCTCTAATTATAAAACACATCCACACAAAGCATTCCAGAGCAGCTACATACAACCCACAAGGTATAACAAAGGACAAATATCTCACACTGTTTACACAAAGCTGCACCTCTCTCAAGGCAATACCCCAACATCATAAACTCCCTTGGCATTCTGATGCAGGCAAAACAAAAAAAAGAGAGATCCCTTCCACAAATAAACACTGGCCCAATGCATGGTTGCTTTTTCCGTACATGTTTACTGTTCAACGTAACCCAACGCTGCCACGTTCCTTATCTAATGTGGATGCCAGCTGCCCTACGCTGGCTCATCTCCCTGGCGAAATCACAGAGCCAGCGTTCACAAACGACCAGGGGAGTTGCTTTGCAAGTCTGATTGTGCACATGGGTCCACGCAGCTCTGTAATCCTTCAAAGGCCTTAGCACTCTAATTAAGTTTGGCACAAATTGCATCAATCAACTTTGAGGTACGTAACAGATTTGCAAACCTAACCGCTAATTTTGAGACGAAATAATGGTATTGCGTTTAAGCTAGCGGATATTATGGGTCATGTAATTTTCTAATTGTTGCGTTGTTGTTCTGTGAAAACGTTCGCTTGCTTTAGAGGCCTTCATCCAGCAGTGGACAGAGGTTGACGGTATTGAACTGTTTTAGCAGCAGTAATGGTGTCACCCCGAGCAAAATGTCCTTCGGGCGAATATGGACAGCTTTCAAAATATCAGGATATGATTTATATTGCTCATTGCAATGCACAAGGGTGATTGCACAATATCCATTAGCGCTCAGCACAGCGGACACAAAAAGCTACCGCATCGCAAAAAGCCACCACATCACCGCTTTGTTTTGCCATATGTCAGCACCTCCCACTGAACACTTACTCCCACAAGGATATGAGACGATGAAACACGAAGCGTATTTATTATTCTTCACTATTAGGTTAGTTAACTTAAAAGGGAAATGTGGTCACGGTAGAAAATCTAACAAGCTAATATATTTCATGAACTGGAAACACAAATCGATACAAATGCTAACGACTATAGTAACTAAGAAAATACATTCACCAAATACAAATTACTGCAGTGCATATATTATATATTTTAAAGTTATTTATGCTTTCCTAGAAGTACAAATATTTTCTGTAAACATTTTGAAAAATGCTAATTTTAAAAAACTTGAAGCAAAGAATAAGGCAATTGAAATGCTCCAAAAAAAGATTTTACTTCCGTAATTGAAATACTCTGCTGCATTCTCCTCTTCTATTCCCTAACGAGCCAATTACATCCACTTTAACACCAGTTCCTTCCTGGCCATTTCAATAATAGGTTTGTGAATGAGCAAGCTTTTATTAAGCACAAATTCTGTACATTAAGACCGGATGTTGACGTGGTGTAATGGTTAGCACTGTGGACTTGCCATATAGTATGATTCGATCTCCTGGAAAACAATCGGCGAGTTTCTTAACTCTTTCCCGTTCCAATGACGTACAAATTTTCTTCCAATTCTGTTCCGATTTTGCACGCTTATGTCAGCGGAACGGAATCGATTCAGAATGGAACGGAATCGATTCCCAACTGAATCAGAAGTAAAAGGCTACGCGGGAGGGCGTGGCATAGTTTGACGCCAGCTATCAGTGTGGTGGTGTCACTACAGTTCTCTGCGGGGAGTATGTCTTTAAAAACAGCTGTGCTACGCAAATTAACGCCGAACCGCTTGCGCGTTCCGAGTTTCAGCGGTGAACGGGACCCACCCTGCAACTTGCAAACGTCTCGGAAGGGGAAATGGTAAAATCCCCCCTACCTCTGTCCTATCAGTAATATGAATGGGCACTCTCCAGTTAGTCGATGGACAGGTTACGTGCGGTGGGGTAACACGTGGGTACTCCGACCTCTTCCAAGATGTCTAGCCAGAAAGGAAGAGTAGGCTAAAAATGCCCAATAGAGGTGCTCTCTAGGGTTTCCCCTACTGGAGGCCCTACCCCTACAGCGTGAGCAACTACCTGCAGGGCTGCACCTTTACTTTTAATAAGACGACCAACGACTTGAATCCCATAATAAAATGTAAAAAGTTAAATTATACGTATATTTCAAAGCCAAGCATGGAAGTATTCCACTGTCAGTTTCTATTCGTACAGTATATATAACACTGTCAAACTGCTCTGATCGGCAAAGTCTGTGGTGTTGGACAGATTCACAAATTTTACCATTATCTGTGAATTGGCACTCCCATTAGCAAATATTTCATATGTAAGAGGAAGGAGTCATGGAAAGTCACTACATTTATCCCTATTATCCGTGAGAATCCACAGATTACAGAGATGTAGAAGACGATGATGGGAGCCTAAGATGATGGTGACAGATGAACATGATAACTTCCGTCACTAACGTAAATGCTACCACTACCATCGCCTCCCGCCGCTGATGATTGATGAAGACATTGATGATGGTGGCTTCAAACACCAGTCACTGTCACTGAAACGGCTAATGGGACGCGTGTTAGAGTGGCATCCCAAAAGGTCAGCTATCACTTAAAAGTCGGCACAGTTTTGCCTCGACGAAAGAGGGTGCCGCAGTGGCAATGTTAACTATCTCGCCTGGTATGCAGGAGGTCACATGGACTTTTCTCCAGGTCCTCTGATTTTTCCATCCACATTTAGAAACATGTGTTTAGTGCATTTGACTGGTGTAAATTTCCACATAAGCCACTTCGTTGAGCTATTATTTTTTGCCAGGTCGCTTCTGAAAAAAATGCTATATAGCTCATTGGGCCTGACCTGGTAAATTAGAAATAGTTTAGGTTTAGTTTAGTTTATAGGCGGGACATCGTAGGACACCTCACGGGACAGTGACAATAGACCAACAACTG